AAGTTTTAGATTCAAATATGGATATCAAAAATGTCATGCAGCGCATAGGCGGCACGAGGGTGCAGTTACCACTTCAGAAAAATATTGAAGGAGCAAATTTATCGTTTCGTCCTCTCTAAAGTTAAATTTTATTTTAACAATTTTTATAAAATATTTATGTTAAAATTAAATTTGAACAATTATATAAGAAAATTATTCCCGTGTTTTAAATCAGATCAATATTATCAATATTACATTGCATGTACATTAATTAAATGTACAAAATAGTATATTTAATCAATACTTTAATTAATACTTTTAAAACATAACATAACATTTTACATTGATATTAATTAATATACTTATCGTCTTATCATACACATAGTTAGTAAAAATGTATAATGTATACACAACGAAGTTGAATGAGAGTAGATTTTTATATTGGTCAATAAATTGTGATTATTAAATGGTACTTTAAACACATTTTTCTGATTCGCAAAGAATGATGTAGTAGCAATTTGAACAAAGAGATGGTCTTATAAATTGACTAATAAAAATACTTCCCGGTTTCGGAATGGACCAGAAAGTATTTCTAGTTCATAACGACTATAAAATATGCTGCTACATTTTTGAAAAATGTTTTTTATTAAGATGTTACGTTTTTTTAGAGGTCCAGTATAGGCAATTTCTACAATACTTATGCAATTATAAAATATTTCAAGGCAAAAATGTAGCAGCAGTGCACTATAATCTATGAACTAAAACGTTCTTTGTACCATTTTTTCGTAAAATTTGATTATTAATAATTTTAAATAGTAAAATTCCTAAAAAAAATACATTTTCATACGTTAGTAATAGTATTTTTTTTAAGTCATCTATTTCATTCAATAATTTTTTGAATTTAGGATACTTAGTTTGCCTGTAAGTTTACTTTGTTATTGTAACTCGATGTTTTAAAGTCAGAGAAGTAATTGTTTTTGTTTTATATCCATCTATATTTTCGTCAGGGCATTTTAACCGCTCGTACTTATTACATACTGCATTAAATGAAAATATTTGTTTCTGTAATTATTGTTTTTATTATATTTTTATTGTCTTAGTCCCATAAAAATAAAGTCTATTTCAAATAAACCCATTATTTTTTAACGTCGACGATTTTCATCTGATAACTTATTTGATTATGCATCGAATTTTAACCCTTTGTCTGTACAATTATTTTTTGGGACGTCATCTGTATACTAGGTCATAAACGGACAGACGTGGTTTTTTTAGTAGGTACTAAAAACACTTAGGAAAAATCTGAAAAAATTCACATTTACTAATCGAGGGTTACTTTTTAAGATTGTTTTAAGATTCATTAATAATTACATTTTTTATAACATTTTAAAAGTGCCTACATTTCAAAAAAAAAAAAATGCATTTTCGAAATTTCGGTTGTGCCATAAAAGACCCAGTGTACAGACGAAGGGTTAAACTCTACCACGTTAACTCTCTTGTACATTACTCGTATTTTGAATTAAATTAAATTAAAATCGTTTAAATCTCAATTGGTCAGGCTACGTAACTCGTTCTAAACTCAAAACACTGTTGGTCTTCATGAATAGTTATAACAAAAAGTGTAGACACATTATAAGCTCCGTACCTCTTCCATATATATATATATATATATATATATATATATAAATATTTATACCAGATCTTTAATAAATTAACTTCGATTAAAAGTTCTTTCTTCTCGAATATTGTGGTTTTCGATTTACTCTATTTCAGTCTTAATATTCAATTTCCAAGATCATCGTTCACACGTAGTTGTTTTATTTATTTATTTATGTCGGTTCTCCGTCTTAAATATGCACTTGTGAACGTCCTTGATACTATAGCCAGCATTAATATGTTAAATATATTCTTACGGACACTGCATTTAACAATGAAGATTAACGTTTTCCGATTGGAATGATAGCAATAGTTTATATTTATGATGTTGTTTTGTATCAGCAGAACCGTTAAAATACAATAATTGTATCTTACCTACGGGTACTACCGGAGCGTTTGTACGAACATAATCCACGCACACACACACACACACACACACAGTTTGGTTGATTAATTTTAAGTCGACTACAAAAGTGTAGTGCTTTACATTCGACTGTTGATGTTCTTTGTTCGCATAATGTAGTTGACGAACAAAAGTGTAATTATTACACTACATAGATGCGTTCTCATCTTGTGCAGTTAACGTATGCGTAGAGTGTATCTACTACGCGCACGTGCATTTACAAAATTTAAGCTCACTGAATACATCCGTTAATACCGATAATATTATAATGTGAAACAATTCGGTTTTTAAAAATGTTTATCGACTACTGTTTATAATATAAATCACTTGTAGTATGATGTAGCAATACAAATCAGTGGTGGGCGAATTTTGAAAGCGAATCGATCTGTTTCGGATCCAACAAAAAGATCGATTCACTTTATAACCGCGGTTCTATTTTAATCAATATATGAAACTCTTTGTAGATTTTCCTGTGATCTAAGAGAAAAGTTTGTGAAAATATTAAATATGTAGTAATTTTTAGTGTTGTGCGTACCCATTACGTATAATTATTTATGTTGTGACTATAGACATTAACATTAATATATTTATTTCACTCAATTAAAATTAAATTAAATTTCTATTTCAGTAAAAAAGCTTAGACATTTTTGAAAACCAATTCTTAAAGACAGCCACGAGCTGAGGCTTTTTGATCCAACAAAAGTTAAACTTACACATAACCTCATTAAAAACGAGTCACGTTAATGCGGTTAATGCATTTAATAATTTATTCAGAAGAATTAAAAAATTCATCAAGAAATCGAGTTGAAATACTGCAAGAATTAGATAAGCTGTGATCTTCAGGATTTTTGCGTAAAAGTAACTGTACAGGGAAAGGGACATGATTTGAATCATGTGGCGTTGGCCAAAAGTTGGGTCAAAAATAATCGACGTTCATTAGAACACAATGACCGGGAACGTGTTCTTTTCGTTTGAAAATTTTTTAATGCCACCTATATTTCTCTCATTTGCGTTCGTTTCGCGAAATTAAGTTTAAATTCCACTTTCGTTCGATCAGCGAACAAAATAAATGCGTTGTTATATGTTAATACAAAATCTACAAATATTGTGCCGAAGGTCACGTAGCTGTAGGAAACTGATTTATTGTTATCATTATTCTCGACTCGTACATACTATCCTGAGTACCTACTCGTAATAGAATTTTTAATTTTTAGCATGCCACGCGGTCGGCTTTCAATCGGATGCGACGGCAACGACGATGATGATGATGCGAATATTTCATATACATTATACCCAATTGATTTTATGTAATTATCATTACACACAGGTGGGTATGTCGGGAGGCGAAGAAATTTCATTATGATCGTGTTGATACGATTACGGTGTTGTATCCACGGGAGCTCTACACAAACTACGCTAGACTATTGTTGTTTTCGGTTAGATGACCGCATGAAAAGACTACGTAGTACCATCGCTCGCATAGTAGCAATTAAATCGTCTCGTAAATTGGTAATCCCTTCTAGCCCCTTCTTGGTTTTTTTCATTACGTTCATTTACCACGGTATATGTATGGTTATGCAATGGTGACTCCAGAAAGGGGTTAAGTAAGGCCATTTTCCTACTTGAAAATGCCTGGACTTACTACTGGGCATAGGTCCCGATCTTAAGCATAAGAATATAGTAATTTAAAAAAAAAAAAAAAGTACAGGTTCACCATAGGAACAAGAAAGTACGCAATTGAGAATAATAAAGATAACTGGTTACTGTAATATTCTATGGTATAATAACCATGGGTGCATCAATCAAACTGCTATCACACTCAAATATGAAGTAGTTAAATTAATTTAAGATAATTTAGCTATGATTTTGAATTATCATTTAACGACAGAAATTTTAATGATTTATTTATTCATTCATTTTTTGTTTAGCAATTTATTCATATCCATAAAGTAATGCTTTACAATTAATCTTTTTCATATGGTTTCTTTTTACTGTTATGTGCATTACTTTGCATGTTTGAAGGATATTCCACAATCATTTTATCGTTTTAAAGTTTATTAGAAACTACTTAAATTGCATTACTATCATAGTAAAAAAAAGCATTAAAACATTTTAATAATAATTTTCACGAGTAAAATATGAAAAATATTTGAAATTATGTTTATAAATAAAATTAAAACCAATATATAATAAATTTATAGTCGTTGTTAATATACGTATATGTATATGAATCCTTTCTGGTATATTAAGAACTATTTCAATATAATATATCCATATATATTAAGAATATAATATATTCTTAATAAATAAATAATTAAATAATATTTAATGAATCTAATGAAATCGTTTTGTCAGTTATTGAATTGAAGCCGGAAGGAGTGATAATACTAGACGAGCCAAGGTAGTGGTAATCAAGAATATCATAATGTCACGAAGCACGAGATTAGAAGAAGAACTAGATTATTGTCATTATTAAATTTATGAATGGTTCTATTCTGTATAACTAATAACCAATTGAATCACTTATTTCAGAAACCCCCTAAATTCACTTTTTCATATTTTGAAATAATCAATAAAAACTAAATCACGGTTCTAAATTTGTTTTTTTTAACTCCCAAAATTACTAAAATATACAATAATGCTCTCTCTTTCAGATTATAGTACAGTTTTAGTTCTTTGACATAGTAGAGGAAGGAAAAAAATGTATTTTGTAACTTACACATATGGGGTTTATGCGATAAATAACTTTACTGGGCACTGTTTTTTTTTAATTTTTTTCTCCTAATTTAATCAAATAATTAGTATGAGGTATAAATAATTAGAAAACAAGTTATTATAATAATATTGAATATATTTTAATGAACAAAATCGTATTTTTAATTATTATTTTATTTTACATATTACATTATAAATTTATTAAATTTTTATTTTTTAACAAAACATATTATTTTTATTTTATTAAATTTTAATCTTCGTAGTAATCTGATATTTCATTAAGTTGAACCTCTGATGTTGGCCAGGACAAAATCGCTTGATCAAAGTCTTCATGCTCAACAACGTATTGAATAAGCATTTCTACATCTTCGAGTTTCTTCTTAATGATAGGTACTCGACCAGCTGGATATGCTTTTGTTATAGGTAATTTCGGTAGAGGGTTCGTCTTCTTTAGAGAAAAAATGGAAGATATTAGTGCATAAATAACTTCTAATTTTCCAGCGGTGTAAATAAAATGTTTAAATGTTGATATTTTAAACGATATTCTATTTTCTTTAGAGATTCCTCTACCAGACGTTTCGTTTGAAATAATGTTCTTTTTATAGAAGCGTGGCCACCAGGTTTTAAAATCAAGGATTTCATTAGTTTGAACTTTATGCACAGAAAACCTTCCACTCTTAAATTATTATATTCTTTAATTATTAAAGAATTACCTCTTTGTACATTTACTTGTTTTAATTTCACTTATATTATTCAACTTATTCATAGTATTTATAACTAAAAAGTCAAAAATAGTTTTGCTGAATCTGAAAAAAATATTTATAATGTTTATTATACATGGTTTTATCCTCTATTTTTTTATAATGCTTTTTATAATATATAAGTTACTATTCTAGTTTTAAACGGGTTAATCCATGTGAATTAGTCATATCAGATGTTACTATTCGAGTTAAATGATATCGTACAACTTATGCACCTTCTGTAAGAAAATATTTTTAGATAACTTTTACTTCATCAGACTCATCACATTTGTTTTATTCTGGTTTACTTTTCAATTTATAAACCTATAATTTTAACGAAAATTAGCACATTAGTATCAGTGTCCTCGTATATTTAAATGTATGTATTTTCTATGATAATACGTAAACGGTAAAATATATAATATTGGTATGATACCTCTCAGCCGTTATTAGTCCAATGATTGTAACTTATAACGTTATGTTCTTTGTATGCCACGATCGTATAATCCAATTATATTTTTTGTAATTCTTGCGATAAATTAATATGATCATATTTCTATCATCTGTTAAGAGTCTCATACATAGTCGTCAATAACATTGATTAATATTTATATATGAATATATTTCCATCGGTAAAACATGCTGGACTATTCCGATTACTTAGTATATTATACAGGATGCGACAGTCAAATCCGACGATTTGAAAAAATAAAAAAAAAATAGAAAAAATTTTTTTTATTAATTTTTCACCGAACAAATAAAAAGTACACAAGTGGAATTTTATAATTATTTATTAATTATATATTATTATATATTTAAAAACTTCATTTTTAAAGATGGTGTCGGGCAAATGCCTTCCTTGGTTAGCCACACATTGTGAGAGTCTGACACCGAAGCTTCCCATGACGTCGTGAAGTGCTTCCAAGGTTATGTTATTGATTTCAAGGTGAATTCGCTCCTTCAAGGCAACAATAGTCTTTTGTGGGTTGTTTTCGAACACCTTGGATTTCACATAACCCCAAAGAAAAAAATCAGGAGCCGTCAAGTCCGATGAACGAGTTAGACGTGGGAAGCTTCGGTGTCAGACTCTCACAATGTGTGGCTAACCAAGGATGGCATTTGCCCGACACAGTCTTTAAAAATAAAGTTTTTAAATATATAACATAAAATTCCACTTGTGTACTTTTTATTTGTTCGGCGAAAAATTAATAAAAAAAATTTTTCTATTTTTTTTATTTTTTCAAATCGTCGGATTTGCCTGCCGCACCCTGTAATATTAAAATACGTCAGGTATTGTATTTGAAAAAAATGGCTATTTGGACTAAACTTAAATATGTAACTGAATAAAGATCATTGATTTTTCAACTATAAATTAATTTGCATATGTCAAAAAAAGAATAAGACATATACAAAATGTCAACTCTTTAAAAAAATGTTGAAACCTATTTTGCATAAATATCGACAGTAAAATTACTGTCGCATTTATCGATCAGATTGTTACAAATAAATGTTTTAATGTTGGCAGATTTTACTAAGTCAAAGCCGTATTCCCCTCCGAACGTATCTGCATTCCATAAGTCTTTACTACCCAGAGGATTTATGATGATCGAATTAACTATAAAACTATTGATCATGACCGTGAACGTGGGAGCTACATTGTCACTTTTCTTTTCCATCAACATTCCAGTCAACAGCTCTACGTTATCGACATCTCCGTACAACGATACCAACTTATTGGCCGTTTCGTGGTTTTCGGTCAGCTCGTAGAAGCTTTTGTAGGCTCGTAATCCGAAATGTCTTCGATAATCGTTAAAACCTTTTATCCTATTTTCCCGGGATAATTTGATCAGTAATTTTGTTAGCGGCATCGTCGCATCGCCGTCATTGTTGCTAGTCAACGATCCCATTTTTTGATCGACCATGAATCTAACCGTTTCAGTCATACCACTCACTAATATTTGCCTGAAAATGTTAATCGAAAATTAAAAACCATCGAAATCGTTCAAAACTAAAAAACTAATACATAAACACACAAATAGTTTGTATACAGAAATAGCCTGGAGTGTAATTACACTTTTACGACCGATTTCGAAAAATTCATCGTCAGGTGTACACAAATTCAATAAAATCGTTACTTACTATTTTATTTTTATAAAATTAAATTATTTATTATACCTAAATCAATTATAATTTTTTTAAATTTTTTTTTATTATTTATTTATTGAAAAAACTAAGAATCGAATCCAATTTAAAGAAAACAGTGGTAGGTATTTGTTCTAGTCGTTGATTAGGCGACACATAGGTATAGGACTCAAACCCAATTCGACAAAGAATTTTAATGAATATCCATTGCAAATGAAATATAATATTAGAACCGTCGCGTGTCGTCGGATGGTATAGGCGCATTATGCGCCTGTGATTATTCATCGAAACGAGCCGAGGGTAGGATCAGTATACAAAGATATCCAATCAAACTGACCTAGTGTCATCTAAACCGTCGGGTAGACCGGACGGTAAGAACGTCGTCAACAACAACTCCAACGGCGTTTTAGCAGTGGTACTGGTGTTCAGAAGTACGTCGCGGTACGACTCTGGGTCGTATTTCAATGTGAACGGATTGGCCGCGGGCAACACCTCATTCATCATGATGGCCATCATCTGTGCGACCACCGTCCTCCTGGCGACCGCGTACAGCTGATCGTCCGTCCATTCGGGCCAACGGGTCGTCAGTAAGTCGCACACGCGGTTGTGCTCACGCACCCATAACGTGTTCATGGCAAACAGCAGCGGGTCCTCGCCCAACAGCGGATTTGCCACTGCCCACTGGGTGCGCAGGGCCCCGTAAACGTCCGCGAACACCGACCTCGGCGGTTGGCCAACGGTCACCGCTTGATTAAACTATTATTGTTGCCGTCGAACACAATACACGAGTAAAATTGGTTGTTAAACGACCAGAAACATTGCCGTTCGTTCTTATAAACGTGATGCTTACCCAGTGCTGTTGGTCGGCTACCGGTGTCCGGGTGAACATCTTCCGGATCTTCTCCGCGAAAGACAACCGCGACGGATACTGATCACCGCCTAAGTACTCAGTTTTCAGCTTGCCGCCCGACATCGACCTGAGCCTTTTCTCCGCGGCCTCATCGCTCCCGTACAGCTGAGAGCCCGTCACCGTCGAACCGAAATCTTTACCGAAAAACTGCATGACGAAGTGTCGGTAAAACGTGTGGTATAGCAGATTTCGCCGTTTCGGGTCCTGCGTCAAATCGCCGTCCTTTTCCCGTCTGAACACTTGGTCGTACAACGTGTTCAACGGCGGATAGCTCTCTGCGGATGGTACACACGGGTCACTATTGTGGTTCTGATAGTTATATGAATATTATACTTACCGTTGACGGGACAATATAACGGACGGTTGGGCAGTAATATCCTGCTGGAGTTCGTCGACGAGACTAGGATGTCGTTCTCGGTGCCGTCCGTCGAAACCCAGTCGTCCGTTATCCGTCTCAGTTGCTGTTGGTGGACTGAAAATTACAACGTTTGAACTGTTACGTATACTTTGGCCTCGTTGCTGTGAGTGCGACGGATTGTTATGCTTACACGAGATAATGGTTTTCTGGTACCGTTCCGCAGGATCAATTGTCGAAAAAAGGGACTGCCACCACCACGTTTTTGGCGCGCCTCTTCGCATGTCTTCGTTCGTACCGTCGCACCAAGCACCGCCTATCAGCCGGGAAATGGTTGAAAAATATCGCTCTGCAACGAATAAAAAAAAACGGTATGGTTTGTTGAATATTCGCTGCCGAAAACGCTGTCGACCAAACGATATTGTGCGATCGATATTACCGTCGGCACATAATTCCCCATAATAATCACGTGGACATTGGCACGTGAATACTCCTTTATTCTGAACGAGTACACCGCCGTTTTGGCATTGTTTCTCCTTCAACGCATCGCAGTACGACCAATCCTTTGTGTCGTGTTCTAAATCTAAGAAAATATATTACATTATTAGTTCAGCACAACGTCACTTGACGGCTGATCATGTATATAGTGGGTGAAGCTATTCTTTGAATTTCGAAAAAACATATCAACATTCAAATATAATAGTTCAATAAATATCTGTACATAAATACCTTTGGTAAAATACGGCATCGCGAACAGAACAATCGAAAGGTATAAGAGTGGTAACCTCAACTCCCGCATTACCGCTGACCAGCTCCATGTCCATCCAAAATAGGAGCGATGCGTATTCGTCGATTTGGCATACTCCTTATCTTTGCGATTCGCAGTCCTATTACCCAAGATGGATTGCTTTAGGATATAATACTCTTCATCGCTAATCTCATTGCTGTCCCTCGCATTTCGAAGTTTCATCAACAAATTTAAAGTGTTTATATACATTTTAATGTCAAATGTATTAGTTATTAATTTAATTAATTTATAAATGATCAAATATATAAAAGAATCGAGATCGTACTTTAAGACCAAAATATAGCAAATGCAGATGTTAAATTATATTTCATAGCAATAGTATTGTTGTTACGTGCTTATTAATAAAACAGATTTAGCTTATAAAAAATAAATAAATAAATTTGGCCAGTGCATAAAACTGTAAATTATAACATTAAGTTTCCTTTGACTTTGACAATAATTGACAATGTATGTACACGTTTCCTCGTTCCGGTGACTCCGGTGTTAAATCGTGTTTAATACCAATAGATATTGTTGATAAAAAAGGCGATAGAAACATATTACTCCGGGGTGACGTGGATTTTAGTCTTCACCCAGTTCCGAATAGAATTTGATTAAGATTTACATAAATGTAACATGAGTGTGCAATGTTGCAAGCTTTTCGTTTTTTTAATTATTTTTATTTTATTGATCTATTTGATAAGGAAAAGGCTGGTAATCGAGTCCAGGTTACAGCACTCACGTGTGCTTTTTGGCACGGTAAGTTTATAGTTGAATGTTGGAGTGTTTTGGGTGACATTGGACAATGAGGCGGTAGTGTTTTTTTTTTTCTAGAGGCGATTATCCTGTCCGGTTATAACTACCAGTCGGTGACTGTGTTTGAACCAACGACTATGCGTTTATCAGCCGTTAATATATTTGTGTTCTACTGTTCGACCACGGTGATCACATTTTTAGATTGTTGCGTACTAAATTCTAAGAATTGGTAGCATTATAAATTTATCATCGATAAATAAAACAAATAAAAGTGTTAATACAACACGATATTTTGGTAAATACTATCCCGAGAATAATATTGATAGCAATAATATTTATATTTCCGAGCATCGTCACTCCATTCTTCTATCCACAACTAAAAATGAAGATTGGAAGAATAGAAGCACCCAACGACGATTACGACGACCGCAGTGAAAACCACGCCGATGACTGCACAGTGGTTCCAGCAATCGCGGCCGTGAAAATACCGATGAATACGAGACAACCACGAATCCGGCCCAGTGGTATTTACACGCGGGATTCCGCGATTCCGTCGTTCAACAATGATGAATATTTTTTTTATTTTTTTTTTGTTATCTCGAGAACCGCACCGACGATGGACAATAATGGTCGATTCAAACATTACGGCAATATATGACCGGCAACGACACGTTAAATTTGTTATACATTCACATTCAAACGTCAAAACATCAAACGTAAAAGTCAAAATTATAAGAATCATGGCAGCTTACTGAGGTTGAGTCTACAGAAGTGTAGTATTAACACTTCCGTAGATTCATAGTGTTTTGAAACAAATTTTATCTACTATTTAAGTTGTCTCATAGTTTTAATAACTAGAGCAATAATATAATAAGTATTTCATCATGCCAAAATTTAACAAAAAAACGTTAGCAATTATGGCAATTATTTTAGACGAGGAAGAAGAAAATCGTCAACAAAAACATAGAACAACATCGGTTTGTGAAATGTTAATTAAAAGAAAGCAATTTGAGGAATATCATACGTTGTTTAATGATTTACAAAACTAAGAAACTTCATTTTAAAAATATTTTAGAATGCCGCAGCATCAATTTTATGTTCTATTATCTAAAATTGATTCGCAAATCACAAAACCAAGTACAACATTTCGAGAAGCTATAAGCTCTAAGGATAACCTTTAATTTAACGTTTAGGAAAACCTAACTCGTATCTAGAGCCCAAATATTAGGGGTACTGAAATTGCTGAAAATAAAATAAAATTATAAAAGCTATTCATTTAAATACTAAGTTTTAATTTCAACTAGAGGCATAATCATTCTAAGCGTGGTCTTTGTTTTGTTCAGTACAATTGTCACAAAACAAATGGAATTCCTCAACATAATCACCAACAAAACTATAGTATATCAAGAAAGAGCATACATCATTTGGCGTTTTTCTTACTGCTGTCTCATGATAAACATAATAAAATAAATTATTCATATTTAAATTATGAATACCAAAAGTGTTGACAGATAATTGACGATAATAATATACTTTCTGCACCGGTAATTTAGGTAAGTCAACTACAGTCATAAAATCAAAGCAAAGACCTAACACTTTTATTCTATTTTTATAAAATAATAATTCTACAGCAGTTATTCTTTTTGCAACATCATTTAAATCTTTATTCATTAATTTTATATTTAATTCTCCGCATTTCGAAAAAACATCAGGACTGAAGTCCCAAAGCTTAATGAAAAATTATTCTTAAAATTCTCCCAATAATATTGATAAAGTGATATAGATAAATTCAGGATACTTGTCTATAAACATTGTGTGCATAGTTTCAACAAGGGTCTTAATATTTCTTCAATCGTGTTGTGTAATGAGTATCTTTGTTGGAAAACTCAATATATGTTCATATATTTTTTGACCATACTCATATGGCATAGTATTAGCACTAATATATTTGCCTCTTATATCAACTGGAGAAATATTATTTTCTAACAAATCGACCAGCCGTCTAATTATTTTATTAGAAATATTATAAACGATGATGAAAGCTTTCTTACACACTTGAATACGCTGTCCATCTACTATTAAAAATTACTAAACACTTTTAGATTTCAGTTTTTCTTCTCCTCCTTCTGTTTCTGTTTTATTTTTTTCGTTTTCTTGTAATTTATTTTATTTCTATTGTTCATTGAAGTTGAAGGTCTTGTTCATTCTTAGAATATAGCTTATAAAACATTTTCATTATATTTTCAAATTTTTCTTGTTTGCCTTTGAAACATTTTTTTGGACAACTTTAAATAGAAAAAAATAATTTAAAATTATAAAAGGTACTAGTTATTAATAGCGAACAAAAACAATTAAGTTTGATATATATATATATATATATATATACTATTATTTAAGGATTAATGAAGAATCATTCTTTGCAGCTATTATTTTTCTAATCTATTTTGTATGTTTTTTCCCTTCAATTTTTGTTTGCTTAATAATTCTTTTATATTTTTCATTGTTAAAAACCCCTTTTTTTCTTTTGAGAGGACTAATACACTCGTAGTCTGAACTTGTATTTTAAAGTTATACACGTTCAAAACGTTTTTACACGACTACGACCGTTTTGACCATTACAATCTTTATTCACTGATAATCATTTTATTTTATATTTTATATTTATAGGTAATTATGGCAACATTTTCATCATTATAATCTTTATTTACTGATAAACGATTGTACAAAATTAAATTTATAAATAGAACAATATGTCATGTCATACAATAAAGTGATTTCACCAAGTTTAGTTCCGATCACAGCGCAACTGGAAGGCTAGGGGGGCTTAGTCCCTCTCCTCGGATCAAGATTAAGCTTCCTATAAATATTCCATGTCATACATGGCATACCGCATACAGTATACTTAACTCACAATAGTGTCACATACAAAAAAAAGACACATTGCAGTAAATCGAACATGACTCAGAATCTAAAATATATTAACATGGTGTATAAGAGTAGGAGTAATCTACAGGTTATTTTAAGTTTAGGTAGAAGGGCTGTAGCCCCCCAGATTTTTTACTCTAGTTGCGCATATGGTTCCGATAGTATTAATAAAGTATAATTTTGATCTAAAAAGATCACATGTCCAGGACAAGTGCTTTTTTTGCAATTAACGAAATTTTAAAGTATTTTTTAACGAGGATCTATTTAATAGGACATGTGCCTCGTCTGCATAAACTATGTATTTTTATCAATATTTAAATTGATTATGTA